CATTTTTTTAAGACCTACAACGTCGATTTTTTGTCGACATCATTCTGCCAGACGTAATAAATAAATTATACAACGTCGTATATTTTTTTTAAAAGTTTTTTAAATTACTATACAACGTTGGTTTTTAGCGAAAACCGCCGTCATATATATTTTTTATAAAAAATTAAATCATAGTAGTGACATTTTGATAAATATTTTAAATTTAAAAGTGGATTACACAAATTACAAATTGCATTTGATGATAGTAGAAGTGCACTTCAAATGCCACTTGGTGCTCTTTGTATTATTGTACAATCACTTTGTAGTGTTGGTCGGTGCACTTTAGAGTTTGATATATTTATCCAAATGTTACTGTTTTTTTTTTTTTCTTTTTCCAAAATTCTTTTACTTTAGAGTTGTTGATCATTCTCATATCGACGATCAAGATGACTTCACATTTGTTTTCTAGGTTTAAGTTCTCATTTGATCGAATCATACACGAGCACATACACATATATATAGAGAGTGGATTAAGTATCGGTGAGTACATAATATGTTGACTATAGGTACATAATATACTAACTACATGCACATGTAATATTATGTTAACATATTTCGTGCCTGCAGTTAACATATTGTATATGTAATTAATATATTATGTGTTTGTGTAGTTAATATATTATGTGTCTTTAATTTATATATAGGTACATAATTTACTAACTGAAGACATATAATATGCATGTTAACTGTAAACACATAATATTTGAAGTAGGATCCACAATGTAAAGTAGATTGTGGTTCATGGTATAACAATTGATGGCAAGATGGATAGATCATACTGGATGCAATTGACAATTTACATCATAAACGTGGTCCACTTTGCACCATGAATCACATGGTTTATTATTATAATATTGTATATTTATTAAAAAGTATCATTGGTCATGTTTCATTATTTATATTGTAGGTTCATTAAGATGACTTCAATTTACTAAGCACATTGTGCTCAGATGGTATGTAGTGACTCTTTCATATGGAAGGTTATGAGATCGAGACTCAATGGTATGAAATATATTATTAAAAATATCACATTGAAATCTTTTGAATGATATTCATATTAATATTTTTTTAAATCTTAGTTGTTTATTGATGGACTTTCAATATTTATAAAATGAACATTCTGTATTGGGAAAATGCACCTCTAGTATTCTCTTAATAAACATATTTTAGGCTCATCAGTATTCATGATGTAGTTGCATTATTATTGTAAAGATGAACATTCAGTATTTTAAAATGACTATAAGTTGTGTTGTATACTGACTCTATTAGAATGTAGTATTGGAGTTCAGACATGTGACCTCCCATTTAGGAGAACCATAGAAATACCATTGAGCTACAAGCTACTTGGCATATAGTGACTTAATATAATCGTATGTTAATTTGAAATATTATTATATTAAAATAAAAAATCAATATGTTGTCATTTAAAAGATCTTAATTAGATCTTTTAATTTGAATAATAATATTTAGATTAATTTTTATTTGTATACAAAGATAAAAGAAAAATAAATTTAAGATGAAAAAAAAAAATAATTTGGTCCATATTATAACAATCCTAGTCGATGTAGTGTTAGAAGTTTGAAACAATAAAAATAAGATTTTTAAACTCTCCTTTTATATTTTACCCATATGTCACAAATAGGTTCGTGGTGGAACATAACTCATAAATGGGTTCTTAATGAGTTAGTTCATTAAGACTAAGAATTTAATGATTCAACCCGCTAATGATAATATGTTAAAGCTAAATACTAATAACTTATTATTTTGAGTTAATTCTATTTTTGTCACAGATTTATGTATTATTTTACTTTTAGACATTTTTTTTTCAGAACATGTCTTGTTGGTCTTAGTATAATTGTGGCATAATTATTTTTTGTCTTCCGTCAACAAACCTATTTAAATGACGTTAAATACGAGGATATTTCGAGTCTTTTAATACATAGTTGGTTGACCCACTATATTTTCATTTTTATTTTTTGAAAAAAATCCCTAATTCACAGCTAGAGTTCCATGTCTTCTTCAATTGCAATCCGTGCCTCCACTGTAGCGCGCGTCTCCACAGTTGTGGAATGATACATATAAATCTAAGACCAACAAATGAATTAACACTTATTAGAACTGAATAGACTAAAATGCTCTCATATTTAATGCAATTTAAATAGGTTTGTTGATGGACGACAAAAAATATATAGTCATGTCACAATAATACTATGACCAACAGGAAATATTCTAAAGAAAAAAGGACTATAAGTGGAATATCACTTATGAATATAGAAATAAAAAATGAAATTAACTCTATTATTTTTTTTTATATCATATGTGTTAACGGGTTATGTAAAAAAATTGTAAAGTTTTTGTGATTCCATGACTATGGTTGAGTTAAAATGTCCAAAATTTCATACTTTCATCATACTTCACCGTCCTTCCCATAAACATTTTTAACTAAATCTAATTAATTTTAAAAATTAAAATTGAAATATTAGAAGTAATTGTAGAGTTGAAGACTAAATAATCTGTAAATTTCATCGTAATCATGTCTCAATAATCCTTTCGAAAAAAAAATCTCAATAAAATAATTGGTGCTTAATTGTCCTGTAAAATTAAATTTTTCTCTCAAAAGGTTGAATCCCCGACCCCAAGAGCCCCGCAGCAGTCCGACCTGACAAAAAATTTAGGAGGATGTAAATTTCGGTGATTCAATGACTCAGTAGACATGACCAAATACCGATGCACACAAGAGATCTGTCAACTTTGAACATAATCTCCATATTATCGCTACCAAAATTCGAACCTTGATTTCTTCTCTCAAATACTATCTACTAATCTGACTCTGGCGTATGTGGCAATTCATTATATTGTCCAATGAATCCACGCATGCTGTGTAAACGCCCTACACTTTGCCCCAATCTCCACCTGCAAAATAATAATCTAACCTTAATATACCACTACTAGCAGCCCTACTTGTTATCATATTTTAAAAATTAAAGCACTTGAAGGGTAGATAATTATTTTCTGAAACTGTCTCCGAGTTTTCATGGTAATTAATTAATTAAATCTATACCAATTCAATTTTTTTAAGGATATAATACTAAAATATATTAATTTATTAATTTTCATATACTTAAATAGTTTCATATGATTAATTAGTTTGTAATAAGTTTAATCAACTAAAATGGTCAATGAATATGGGTTTATTTTGACTAAGCTAAGAAGGAACAATCATTATTGTGTGGACCATACTATCAAATAATGTACATTCAGTGCACAAATAATGTATTTTTAATATATTAAAAATGTACATTATATTCAGAAAAAGTACATTTTTGAGTACTGAAAATACATTATTTTGTATAATGTACATTCATTACACCAATAATGTACTTTTAATATATTAAAAATGTACTTTTTATTATAGTCCATACAGTAATTTGTCCGGAAGGAAAGTGTTTGAAATACTCCTAATAGGAAAAATTAAACTTAATATGATGTATTTTGATTAATTAATCATTTATTTGAATGTCAAGTACTTTGTGAAGTGATGATATCACTGTTGCTTTCCATTAGAAAGTTCGAAACTATGAATACGTTATAGTGCATATACTAAAAAATCCATCATGTAAGATACAATTTCCTCCACTAAAAATATGTTAACTATTACTCTTTAATTAATTCATTAAAAAAAAACTAATTACTATGAAACTATATCAATATGTGTCAACTTAATTGTTGTTTTAAGTTTATTTATTTATTTTGTATGGCTAATGCTTTTATGCTTTTGTTTTTGTTTTTGTTTTTTTTTTTTTTTGTTTTTTTTTTTGTTTTATTTATTTATTTAATTATTTTGTGTGGCTAACGTAAGATTAGTGTTTTTATCTACCATTGTAAGATCATTGAGTCATTTTGACCTTTGTAGCTAAAGATGAGAGAATTGAAACACTTTGGTACGTAAGGCAAGAGTTGTTTGTTTTGGTCAATGGGAGGTTGGGAAGATTGGTAAGAACTGGTGGATCCATGACCTCATTTACTTGTTCTATTCCTGTGACTATATATATTTGCAATATATCTAGAAGCTTTATAAAGAATCAAAGTAGAAGTGTAGAAGTTGGATGGAAATGGATGGTCATCAATTATTATGAGATACTTTGAGCAAACTTTAAGTGACTAAAATGTTAATTTAATTTAGGAAAAGAGTCAAATACGTTCATTAATTTTACATCAAAAGTCAATTAGGTACCTAAACTTTTAAAATGTGCAATTAAACCATCAAACATGTCAAATTGAAGCAATGAGGCCCAAAAACAAGTAAATGGCCTATTATTACAGGTCATTTCAGTTCATGCGAAAATCCGACAAAAATCCGGCGAAATTCATGCGAAAATCCGACGATCAGCGACAATTCAACCGTCGCTGGTCGCCTTCTCTAGGAGTAAGCCACCAGATCTGGTCGCCTTCTCCAGGAAAAACACAACAACCAACGAAATCATCACCGTACTCTCTGGATCAACTGTAGATGAGACCATATATGCATCACTTGGAACATTCATGTAAAATAGGTTTAGTTCCTCCCTCTAAGCAAATTATATCATAGACCACAATCTACCTTATATTATGAACCACTGAACCCTTGTCCAAAAATAACCTTCAGATTATATATCTACAGTTAGTATATTATGTACTTGTATTTAACAGTTTATGTGCATGTAAATAAATTAAAGGCAAATAACATGTTAACTACATATATAAAATGGTAACTAAGACATATAAACTATTAACGACATTATGTGTTTACAGTTACCATTTTATGTACCTGTAGTTACCATTTTATGTGTTTGTAGTTAAACATGTTATGCGTCTCCAATTTCTTTACAGACACGTCAACGGTTAACTGCAGGTACATAATATATTAACTGCAGACATATAATTTTTGGACTAGGATCCAAAATGCAAGATGGACCCTGGCGGTATAACAATTGTTCCCTCTAATACCTAGTGGTATACCTACTGAATTTTATTATGAAAGTAAAAACAGAAAGATCACACTCAACAAGGAACACTAATTTGCAGTTACAAATCAGTAATTGTATAACAAAAAAATTTAATTATATTTTTATGGAGAGGATATACATTGAATTATGCATCCCAATTCCCAAATAACTTCTAACATTGTTGTTGATGCTGCTGTAAGTTAATGAGCTTATAATATGCTCCATCCCTGTTCTCTATGAGTGTAGAATGAGTCCCCTGCTCTATTATCTTCCCATCTTGTAACACACATATTTGGTCAGCATTTTTTATGGTAGATAATCTATGTGCCACAACAACAGATGTTCTGCTCTTCATCAGCCTGTCGAGAGCTTGTTGGACGATTCGCTCTGACTCGACGTCGAGTGCACTAGTGGCTTCGTCCAATAGCAAGATTTCGGGGTTCTTTAGGACGGCTCGGGCTATGGCTACTCGCTGCTTCTGCCCGCCAGAAAGCTGCACGCCTCGCTCTCCTACCTTGGTCGAGTAGCCCTCGGGGAGAGCACTAATGAAACTATGCGCATTGGCTAGCTTTGCGGCTTCTATCACTTCTGACTCGGTTGCTCCCTCTTTGCCATAGAGGATGTTTTCGTAGATCGATGTGGCGAAAAGGGCAGGTTCTTGTTGGACAAGTCCAATGTGCTTCCTTAGAGACTTGAGCTTTAGGTTCTTGATATCTTTACCTGTATCGATTTAAGTAAAAGTTTTAGTTGAAACAGAACACATCGAATCTGACAGTTCTTCCTGAATTTAGGTCGAAAATACTAACCATCAATCATGACTTTCCCGGATATTGGATCATAAAACCTCAAAATGAGAGAGATAACCGAACTTTTACCAGAACCACTCTGCCCGACTAACGCCATGCTCTTGCCCGGGCGCACTCTCATGTTGAAATCTTTGAAAATCGGAGTATCAGGCCGGGAAGGGTAGCTAAACTCCACATCCCTGAGCTCAATTGTGCCTTCCACTTTTATCAACTCCTCCCCCACATCAGCTAAGATCTCTGTCTTGCGATCTAGTACTTCAAACACGGATGCCACCATTTGGTTTCCTTTTATGAGGTCGGGCGCCATTGCCAGGGTCTCTCCCATGGCCAAAGCCGTTACAATCAGAACCATAAACGCCTTCATCACAGATTGAAAGCTCGAAATCTCCTTTCCCATCAAAATAGAACCATACCTACATTACAGTAAGTAGTTCAAAAACTTACATTATATATAAGGCCATTGGTTAGACTAGCTAATTGATTCACCCTGCAACGTAACATACCATAAAGCAAGAGCATAGGACGAGAAGATGAAAAACTGAGCCACCCCATAAAGAATCCCAGCAACCTGACCGCGATAAAATGAACTCTTCGAGGGCTCCACAAGTTCGTGAGCGTATTGATCAAGAACCTTCTCCTCGGAACAGAAAGCTGCAACGGTTCGAATGTTACTCACAGCCTCACCAGCAAACATATTAGCTTTCAGATAGGCTTTGCTCAAGTTCCCACCAAAGCCCTTCATAAAGAGTTTCTGAAACAAAAATAACAGCTAATCAGTCACATGTTTATACATGTTTTTTGGTCAGTTTATGGCTGCTGAATAATTAAGATGAAACTAACAAACCTCACTGATGTGGCCAGAGACGATAAGAGGATACATTGCCAGGACTACAAGGGTTAGCCTCCAGTTCAAGATAAAAGCAATGATGAAAGAAGTGACCACCAAGCCTACATTTTGTAACAGAATACTGGACCGATCAACAACCACGGTTCGCAATAGAGTCGCATCGCTTTCTAAGCGTGAAGCTAACATAGAACTCGTGTTGTCCATCACATCGAACCATCCTATCTCGTTTTTTAGCATAGCTGCACATACAAGAACGAAACACAGCATCAACAAAAGTTGCAATTAAACTCATAAACATGTTATTTTTGAGCACTGAAATCCAAAAACCATTTGGTGACCAGTAATTACATCCAAGTCACTAAGGTTCCCCCAAGCCTCCAACCAATTTTCGGGTCAAACAGTCACCAGTTGCATTTGGAGAAGGCATATCAACTGGTGCCTTCTCCAAACGTGACTGGCCACCTTTTGACAGAACCCTAGTGACCTGCAATTACAGGTATAACAATTACCTGAAAACATCTTCTCTCGAACGCGAAGTGTGAGCCTCTCGCCCATGATTCCGAAGCAACAATGAGCAATGGCATGAACATTGATAGTTATAAAGGCACCACCACAGAAGAGTAAGCAAATCTTCTTCACTTCTCGGCGAGTTGTGTCCCAATCCATGTAGTAAGATACCAGTGCTTGAGTTACCCCAAGGGCAAACAGTGGCATCTGAGCTCCAGCAATAAATACACAAATAGTCCCAATAACTCCATAGTACCAGTCAGGACCAATCATAGTATACAATCTTTTTGGAGAAACCCGAGTTGCTTTATCATCATCTTCTTCGCTATTATCACCAACTTTACTAGCTGATTTATCAGAGCGAAAACTAGCACCATGACTTCTCGTTGATGTTCGGGATAATTCTCGCGAATACCTTATACTTCCTTCACGAGAATACCTGCCACTATGGAGATCAAATTAAGGTAATTGAAGAAAAAAATGCACATATTGCATATGGATTATATTGCTTCTGTTGAAATGGGAGAAACTAACATTAATAAACAAATAAAGAATTCCAATAACAATAGAATAACGGTCTATGGAAGTTAATTAATGTGTATGCTTCTAGTTGTGAGTGAATTAGCCAAAAAAACAAGACATACGTTTCATGAATGCCCACAAGAAAGAAGCAATTGAACTGTAACAATACATTTCTTCAACATTTTCCAAGGTCCATTACAAGATGGTTTATGATATAGGGGTGTTTGGCAAATGGCTGATAGCTGATTAAGTTAGCTAATAGCTTATTGGATTAACTGGTTGAACCATCTGATAGTAGTAGTTAGTTGTAAAAAAATGTTTGGTAAACACTGCTGGAAATTAAGGAATTTCGGACCACCTGAAAGTGATTTTAAATCAAGTTGACAGCTTTTGGTGTCCAGAAAAACCTTTGTTGCTATTTTCGACCACTTTTTGCTTTCGACTTGATTTAAGATCACTTTTCATGTGGTCGGAAATTCCATAAGATCATAAACATATTGTGCTAATTTATTAAATCTATAACAATGTAGTATAGAGTATTTGTTTATACATACTTTCTTAACATATTGAAGCAAAGAGTCAATGCTCCCCACGGGAGTTCGAACCTGTAACCTCTCCAGTTATACCGCTCGACCACAAGGGTCTTTGGCATTATTATTATTATTATTATTATTATTATTATTATTATTATTATTATGGATTTCATGGATGAGTAAAATCAAAAATAAAGAAAAAATTATTATTTTTGTTACAAAAACCAAAAAAAAAAAGGGGGTGGGTGGGGGGGGGGGGGGTTGCAAAGCAGAGGAACAACAATATGTATAAATGTTAGGGATGATAGGGGTAAAATGGTCATTTCATAATTAAGGTCAATCAGCTAATTTAAAACTCTACCCTCCTTAGCTTTTCAAATTTTAGTTTATTGACACAATAAATTAATACAATAAATCATTTTACCAAACATTTAAAATAGCTTATTGACCAGTTAAACCAACAAAACTTAATCAAATGTGTTAAAATTGACCTTATCAGCTATATTACCAAACAGGACATGTTTGCATGATGTAGAAGTGGTACCTGATAGGTTGTCCCATATTATTATGAGCACGAGAGGGAAGGCGGTCCAATGAACCTGCGGCCTCTTGAAGTTGAACAAGAGATGCATAGGCACCATTTGGTTTTGATATGAGCTCCTCATGGCAGCCAATTTCTACTATGTTCCCACTTTGAACAACAGCTATGACATCAGCATTTCTAATGGTGGAGAGATTATGAGCCACAATAATAGTTGTCCGCCCCACCATCACACGATCAAGAGCCTCCTGCACACTCTTCTCGGATTCAGCATCAAGTGCACTTGTGGCTTCGTCTAACAAAAGTATCGAAGGGTTCTTCACTATTGCACGAGAGATTGCAATTCTTTGCTTTTGTCCTCCAGATAATTGTACCCCTCTCTCACCCACCTGCAAATGGATATATATATGTATATGATATACAACACAACTTAATTAAAGCTCCATCACATTGCATATTTGTGTTGCTAGGCATTTCACATATTTATTCAGGCTACTCAACATTTATAATATGTGTGGTGAATTCACAATGGCGTGTTCAGCAAATACTTATTAGCTTATTGAATTAGCCGAAACCAGCTTGGTTAGTTGGAGTGGTCGTGTTCCCTAAGAGAGGTCGGAAGTTCAAACCACTCTAGTATGAAAAAAATCAATCTGACCATCATTTTGTCCTTTAATTGGGCCGGCTAGGTGCGAACAGGAATTAGTTTGAGTATGGTACAGGTTTAAAGGTGCCTCCTACAATTGAGCCGGCTAGGTGCGAACAAGGATTAGTATGAGTATGGTACAGGCTTAAAGTGCCTCCTACAATTAGGACTAGCTATGCTCAAAACACCTCGTGGTCTGACAAAAAAAAAAAATTAGCCAATAGCTGTTCGCGAATTATGTTAGCGGGTTTGATCCGCTAATAGCACAGGCCGGACTGTTGAACCTATTTGCACAACCCCCTAGTTTAAACAAAAAAAAAAAAAAAAAAAAAAGTACCTATTTGCACAACCCATAGTTTAAACCAATATATATATATATATATATATATATATATATATATATATATATTATTGGCGGTGTTTTGAGAAAAATAATTTATTGTCTCAAAAACTGATAAAAAGTACTGCTTTTAGTCACGTTTTAAATTTTAACGTTTTGAAGCAATAAATGGTTACAAAAAACTTATTAATCAAACACTCATGTTTACTGTTTGACCATGTCAAACCAACCAAAATTGGTTGATTAGCTATGTTACCAAACTAAGGCTAATAATTTCACAGGTTGAAATTTGGGGAATTTGAAATGCCTACTATACCTGAGTTTCAAACCTGTCAGGGAGGTTGTTGATGAAGGTGATTGCCCCAGAAAGTTTTGTGGCATGTGCAATTTCATCAGGGGTAGCATCCTCTTTTCCATACAGAATATTCTCCCTTATGGTTGTGGCAAAAAGGGCAGGTTCTTGATTAACCAATCCAATTTGTTGCCTAAGCCACTTGACCTCAAGTTCACTGCTCTCAACTCCATCCAATAGTATCTGCCCAGAATTAGGCTCATAGAACCGTTCAATCAAGGACACAACAGTGCTCTTCCCTGATCCACTCCCTCCTACTAGGGCTACAATCTTCCCCGGGGGGATATCGAGACACAGCTTGTCAAAGATCAACACATCCGGGCGAGATGGGTAACTAAAACACACATCCTTGAATTCGATGTGCCCGTCTAGTTGATTCAGTTTCCTTCCTCCGCTCCTTGAGCTGTTGGTTTTGTTTGCTGTGTTTCTCTCGATCATCTCGAATATGGGATAAGCAGCCGCCTTCGCTCGGATAAAAGCTGAAACATCCGGTGCTGCCTGCCCCAGTGACCTGCAATTAGAAGTCAATGGAAAAGATCAGTCTAACTCATGACTTTATAAACTCATATGTTATTTTTTTTTTTATTGTTTTGTGGGGGGGGGGGGCGGTGGGGGGGGGGGGTGGGGGGAGGGGAGAGAAATGGATACATACAGGCCAGCAATGACAACATTAAGCATGGTGGTAAAAGAGTCCCCTCCATTGGCAATGTTCTTATGGACAACTATGCTAGTGAACCACACAAGCAAGGACCAAGAAAGGAAAAGGACACAATGCAAGGTGCCCAATCCGAGCCCTTTGGCTAGCCCTGCCTTCTTTCCATATTTGTATGTGTTCAGTAATGCCTCTGTGTATGACTTCACCGCCTTCTCTTCTCCGGTAAACGCTTGCACTGTTCTGACATTACCGACCACCTGAGGTATAGGAGATTTCAGTCGTAACAAAAAGCACATAAATGTGCAATCCAACTATCAATTTAGACTTTTTTTGAAATAGAGTATCAGAGCTAATAACCCACTTCTGTCAGGAAACGTGTTGAGCATACAACCCTTTTTATTGTAATGAGCCTCATACTTTAATTGAAACGGAACACATGCTTCAATTACCTCTTGGGCGATTTCACCGGCTCTAACATAGGACTTGCGAACTCTGGCGATTAGGCCGGTGGCGACGAAGGCGTAGACTCCGCCGGCGAGAGCTATGAGGGGGACAATGGAGAGGGTGACCAAGCTGATTTGCCACAACCTTATGAAACCTATTGTGAATCCTGCTATGAACCTGCTTATGTAGTGCATGAAATTTCCCACCTGAACATACACACTCCAATATATTATTATTTCTTCAGCTACAACTCCAACATATGTATTATTGGAATTCACTGAAATAACACAACATCAACAACTCTACTCTACTAATTAACCTAAATCCATATCTAGTTTTACACAAAAAGAAGAATAATATGGGGTGTTTGTCAATTAGCTTGTTAGATTATAGCGGGTTGAGTTAACTGGTTCAATAATGTGTTTGATAAATTAGTTGTTTACTCTAATGAGTTGATTACATCTAAAATGACCTTGACATTGATAATAACAACAATACACAACACAAACAAAATCAATAAAAAAGACGAAGGAGAAAGAGGAGCTCAATGCCCCTCTTTCTATGAAAGAGTTGCCCATCCGATTCCCACACTAGATGTGCAACCAAAAGTGGCCTTTGACTCATTAAAATGTTGCAATTAAATTCTTTTTTAAGAGGGGCAATTTTGGGGCGTTTTGGATTCCAGCGTGGAGCAAAATGAAGCTCCAAAACGATAAGTTACCAAATAATTCAAATGGCATTTTGCCCAGTAAAATGTCAAAAATGATTGATCAGACATTTACCAAACACTCTTTTTAATTTTTTTTGAACGCTACTGACTCTATTACAATGTAATATCTATTCTTAACTACTTTCTCAACCTACTGAAGCACAAAGAGCCAATAACACCTCCACTGAGACTCGAACTCATAACCTCCCATATGAACACTCCCTTAAATTTAGTTGATGTTATATTTTAAATTGTGTTGCATAATTTACTTAAATATCTTCAATATAAATTAATTAATTAATTAATTAATTAATTAAAATAATATATGCACATATAACTGTACACTATTTTATATGTGTATAAATATATTATTGTTATTAATATTTTATTTATTAGTATATATAAGGGGTAGCTGATAAGGACAAAATTGAAATATTAAAATGTAATGTAATAATATAATACTTAATAAGATGAAGCCATGAAGGTAATGTAATTACCTCTAACGTTACTCAAAAAATCCTACATAGAGGTTGAGGTAATCACATAACTTAAACATACAATATTATACGACATTATCATACTTACATTAATAAAATAATGTTACATATCATACTTTTCAACCAAAGCAAATATATATATATATATATATATATATATATATATATATATATATATATATATATATATATATATATAATAACCTATTTATGGTATTTTTAATAAAAGAGAGTTTTATTTATAATATTACATGCTATGCATTGTGATTTACCGTTTATAAAAAAAGAAATTGAAAAAATTAATTAAAGAAATATTTCAATTAATTTGAGAATAAGACAACTAAAACATTATAAATATTTCAGAAAAAGTTATTATTTATTTAATAATAATTTATTATTCGTAATAAATTTATTACATTATAAAAAAATAATTATAAATATATTTGGATATTGCTTAGTAAAACACTAATTAACAAATAATTTTAAGAAAGAAAACAACATCTTTGTTAGAGAATAAACTTGTGATTTTCTACCTTTTTATGTCATATGCCTTTTGCTACTAATAAGAATGCTTTTGTAAAAACAATGTTAAACCAATAAGCAACTAATGAATTGAAGAATGTTCAAATGTTGGCATGCATTCATTCATGCAATAAATATGAGAGACAAAATAACGTGTATCTATTTAATTTCCCAAATTCTTTTGAATGCTACTGATAATTTCCCAAATTCTAGGTAAGAATGTCAGGATTTTTTTTTATTTGAAAATAGAATGTCAGGATTTTAATTTTTAAAATATTCAAATTTCAATCTGCAAAGCTGCAATTCAATCAATTCTCCATTGCAGACAAAGAAATTGCAATACATGACCATGACTCCATGTCTCTATAGAGTATAGACCAACTAGCCTACATATAACATTGGCATGTCACCAAAGCAACACACGCACCCACATATATAAGAAGTAATCTTAACTTACGAAATGCGTACTGCTAAAAGATTACACAGCAACAACTACATGATTGTATCATTACGGTTGCCAGACATATCTGAAACACCTTGCAGTGCAATTGTATCTGGATGCGATACAATCATATAATAAGTGCGGTACAATCCTTTAAAAGTTTGCAGGCTCACACGTTAAGGTCAATTCTTTTATATATATATATATATATATATATATATATATATATATATATATATATATATATATATATATATATATTAAGGATCAAATGAGAACCATGCCATAGATAAGAATGTAAAAAATGTATGAATAATTGAATACACATAATCTACTTCAGGACAAATTGTGTGTGTAGAGAATCAAACTGTGTGCATTTATGTAATAATTCACAAGTTCTCATTTAAGGAATGATTCTCATTTGAACGCAACCCTATATATAAAGTTAACGATCAATGGACCACCATGTCTATTTTTGTATTATAATTTCTTCCATTTATTTATGTTTAAAAAATTGCACTACTTTTAACTGATTTGTGCGTGTGTATCATGTTTCAGGTAGTCACTAAGTTTATAAATTATTTAACAATTATTAAATTAAAAGATGAAATTTGTAAAAATTTAAAAAAGATGAATTATATTTATAACTCAAAAAGACCAAACTTTATGGGCATCAAATTGAGTGTGCCCATTTTATTAATTCATTCTTGGGTATAAACTCTCACAGACCACAGCCAGTTAACTGATCCAGCTACCCAACAATAAAGATAATTGGTTCACCATAAATGCTGCATTTACTATTTCGACCTCTACTCTTCAATGGGGAGGGGAAAAAAAAAAAAAAAAGAACTAAAATAATTCCAGACATAATCCAACCAAATTGGTGAGGCTATTAATTTAGTAACACAAGGTTTTACATTTGACTCTCGGTAGGAATGACCTATTGATTTTCATAATTTCAGCTGGTCAATTATGAACAACGTAGATTGATTTATCTCATTGTGGTTTTTTGTCGAGTAGGATCACAAGATGAATTTACCTAGTATACAACTTCGGATAGTGGCTACGAATTTCTCTCGTCATCAAAAAAATAATTGCAAGCTATGGGCTATGGCTCTTTTTTTGTGCAAAAAATGTATAAACTAAGCTTAATTTATAATGTTAGTATACTTGATGCATATATAGGAAAAAAATTATCTTCTCAAATTTTCTGTCTGGTCGAGGTGTGGGGGTTTTTGGATTCGAGGATTTAACCTTTTAGGAGAATGAAAAAAAATGTACCTTCTCAGAGATGGCATCTTGAACTACAATAATGTCAGTAGTAATTGCAGAAATGACTTCTCCAGTTGAAGCTTCAGTATCAAAAAGACTAATGTCTTGATTCAACATAGACCTCAAATATGCCATTCTCATCTTCGCCGCTTGCCTCTCTCCGGTGTGCATCCAACATGCCACCTCTATTATTTTCAAATCACAATTACTATATACTCTTTTTTTATTTAATTAATATTATATCTATAATGCAAACAAAAGAAAAATAATTTTAATTCATACCTGTCCATGATGAAAAGAGTATGACGATACTTAAGTAAACAAAATCCAAGGAGTACTGCAATTACAAACAAAATGAAAATTTTAAGAGTAAAATATATAAGATTAAAATGTTATACAAAAAATTATTGGGTTTAATGAGAAATTAGTAGTGAATATCTAATGTCGATGAAAGTTTTAAATAATTTGGAAAACTAGATCTTGTAATTGAAGCATGTATTTGATTTATCTGAACTAAAAAACTAAGTTCATTTCAAAAAAAAAAAAACTAAGTTCATAGTTGGATTGCACATCTATGTTTATATATTATATGTCCAATAGCCAACTACTATATATGTAGTATGATAATAGACACTTCTTTATCATTCCATATGGGTGATCATATGATCGAATTCGGTGGTGGAAACATTGATTCTTAATTGGGTTGAAGAAGATTGAGAAAGTACAGAACTAATACTAGACTATAAAGAATCGTGAGCTTATGTATTGTAAATATATGAGTTAATACCTAATTCAGTCATCGACTACAGTAGTTTTTTTAGATTTAGTTCTAAAGGACTTTTGGTATTTAATTAGGTCATCAACTTTGATAATTTTACCTAATTGAGTCTTCAGTTGTTAGAATCAAAGACTCAATTGTGAAAAATCAGTACAGTCGAGATTTAAATTGGATAAAATCACTATAGTCCAGGACTAACTTGAGTAAAACTATTATAATTAAAGACTAAATTAGGTATTAATTAATAGATGCGAACTTACCAAGTTTTTTTTTTTTTTTTTTTGAAAGGAAATTTAAAACATCTTATTAAATGATAGAAGTAATATAAGTAGGAACAGAGTCCAACCAAATAGTAGAAGTTATTTTAACATAAGACTCAATTGAAAAAAATCATCTAGTACAAAAGGTGGTTTAGGACTAAACCCAGAAAAATTAAACCAGTATAGTGGAAGAGTAAAGTAGGTATTAACTCATAAATTTTTACCTTGGCAACTTTATGGGAAGCTTCTGCCGGGAAAAGAAAAGCCTCCCCAATCACATCTATAATTTTGCCGAAGAAAACAAAGAAGACAGGGACAGAAGCCCCATGCACACAGGCGCCAACAAATCCGACAAACATCAGAACATAGTCCACACCATCGGCGAAGGAGAACAGTTTCATTAATGACACTTTCTTAACTGCTTTCCTCCTCTCATTTTCCTCCTCCTCCTCCTTCTCCGCCGGCGGTTTCTCGCCGCCGGGAAACGCTCTCCGGTTGTCCATTTAGAGCAAAGAAAGATTACAGGTATGATAGACGGCCGGGGTTACAGGATAATCGAAGATAAATATAATGGCTAAGTAGATGAGATGATGATATATAGTTGTGGTAAGCCGTGAGGTAAGGTTTGTTGACTAAAGACGACAAGTGAGATGGGGTCTGGAAGAGTGGCGGTTGTTAGTCGAATAGTCGCCGGAGAAGATCAGAGAGGTAGAATATATATATATAATCGTCGTCTTTTTTGGTATAGTTTGGTCGATCACGGTTGTGGGTTATGCAGTGGTTTGTTGCTGCTATTAATATACATGTGATGGAGAGGAAGATAGGACTGTTTCTTTGGGCGCGTTAATTGCAACGGGACAGGAGCCTGAACCAGCTCATAATTTGTTGATTTTGTTCCCCTCACATCTTAGCCAATGACGTTATTGTCTAGTGGCACGAATTAAAGTGACTCTCCTAAATGAGAGTTAGATATTCTCGCTTTTATGTTCAATAGGTTGGGAAAGTAGTTATACATGGAACGTATACAATATCACCGCTTTTGTGCTTCAATAGGTTGAGAAAACAGAACAGATACTACATTTGTAACGAGTCTGTAACAAATACTACCTTATAATAGAGTCAATAGTACTCAGAAAAAAAATATTATAATATTTCTTACTTTATATTTAATTAAAATAGAATACTTGCTATTTTTGATGTTGAGTTACTTGAGTATGGTGGCGTGTTCTCCTCGTCATTAAAAATAAATGTTTTTACCCCTACTTTATTCCCTACAAAATGTGTGTTACTTTTATGCTATAAAGTATTATATATAAGACTTCAAGAGCCAAGCACCTTGTGCAAAGATAGACATGTAGTGACTCTTCCATATGGAAGGTCATAAGATTGAGCCTTAGTGGAGGCGATATTGACTCTTTGTGCTTCAAACACGTTAAGAAAGTATAGATGAACAGGTACTACAATGTAATAAAGTCAGTAGTAGTAAAAAAAAAAAAAACACTTCAATTATGTTATTACTATATAAAGTACTACGTTTATGCTGTAAAGTATATTGTATATAAGGCTTAAAGTAATAATTAGTTAATGATTGGCTTACTGAATATTGTTTAATTATTAGAATTTTGTTATAAACTACTATATTTATGCTATAAAGTATATTATAATAAGGCCTAAAATATTTGTGATATCTGTAATTCTGTTATGTTATTAATTTATTTATTATAAATTGTCTATTACAGTTTTACAATAAAATACTATATTTGTGATATAAAATATTATATATAGACTTAAACTATATATTAATTATATTTACAATTCTATTATCACTCATTTTTATTAGATCTGAATCGTCTCACAAATTGAGACTTGTTAGACCGCCTCACACCAGCCCATACATAAAATTGCATCTTGTGTGAATTTTTTCATAATCAATACAAACTAAAGTACAAATTTAGTGTTATTAGTTATAATAATATTTTTAATTCGTTGATTATACTGTAATTGATGTTATATATATATATATATATATATATATATATATATATATATATATATATATATATATATATATATATATATATATATATGTGTGTGTGTGTGTGTGTGTGTGTGTGTGTGTGTGTGTGTGTGTGTGTGTGTGTGTGTATTGTCAATTATTTAGGATATTAATAATAAAATTGATTTGATCAATGTACTAAACTTACGATACTCGTCATTTCTTCATCTCATTCCGATAGTCAATTTGACTTTTGATTAAAATAATGCTGATATTATTAAATTTAATTCCTTAAAATAAAAAATAAAAACAGGATTTGATACTGGGGATAAAGATAGAGTGGTGACATATGGAATATTAATACAACAACCTAACAGTCAACCACCAAGATTATGAGGTCAGAATCATAATGTTAGGCACTATTTTTCAAATACTAATAATAATAACATAACGTCATGCACATATAAAATTATAAACTAACTTAAAATTCCCCTCTATAAAAAGGAATTATAAGTTTTTCCTTTTTCAGCAATCAAATTAAAATAGCATTCAGAAAATCGGTGGGAGGTCACAGGTTCAAGCGTCATAACTGTGGTTCTCTCAAATGTGAGGTCACTGATTCGAATTTCAGTAGAGACATTGACTGTTTGTGCTTTAATATGTTGAGAAAGTATATATAGACATCTAATACATTGTAATAGAATTAGTAGTACTCAACAAAAAATTGTAAATAATATGTCAATTAATAATGTTACTCCTGAATTATTAGTGGAAAATATATGTACCGTTTTAAAAATTGAAGGGCAACATTTATCCCACTAATAATTAAGGAGTAACATTGATAATTGACATATTATAGACGTACATAAATTACAATTTTTTCTAAAAAAACTTGTGTTACACAACAGCAACCGAAAATGTTATATTAGAGACCTTTTAATATGAAAACTGGTCATATTTACCTTTTGCAAAAAGATTTGTTGATTTTTTTGTTGAAAACAGATTTGTTAATTATAAATATGTGTATTATATATCTACCGTTTGGTTCATAGTATGACACTTTCATAGGTTATTTATTACATTCTTTTAAAGGTTTGTAGTATGTACTTGTAAATTAAACCAAAAATTAATTACTTCCAACTAGTGATACCTGCTTATTGTCACTATTTATTAGCATGTGCTTTCATGTGTACCTTATTGTTGAATTTGATGGGGATATCGTATCTAAAATTTATTGCAATTTTTAAAACATTTTAAATGGTAATTAATTTCAAAAAGTGTGTATAGAGTCTTAGACTTAAAATAATAAGATAACAAGATGATTTGCAATATTTTAAATTTTTTATATTTCAATAAAATAATAATTCAGACATTATGGCAAAAATTACTACATGAGATCGTCTCATAAATCATAATCCGTGAGGCAAGTCAGATTTTTCACAAGTATTACATTTCTACATCTACCATTCTAATATAAGGCAATAATGTTAGGACCTACCTCTCAAAGTGAAGGGGATTTCTTGTGCGCAGTGAACACAGGTCTAGCCTCTGTGGTTCATGTTCAGTTGAGTTACCATGATTTACATCCTCCCAAATGCTCTGTTGGGTCGGGGTGTGGGGAGCCCTTAGGGTTGGGGTTCAGCCTTTTGGAATAATAATGTTAGGACCTTAACTGAAACACAAAAAAAAAAAATGCCAGTAGCATTATTTTTTAAAATGAATGGTTCAAATTATTTTGATTTTAATATTTTTTTTAATGATTTCCCTTATTTACCCTTTATTATATTATTTTTTCCCTTAAATAACATTAAATTCCGTTAGTATAAACTTTTTTAACAGAATATTCCGTTAACTATTTATTATTGTTAACTTACTCAATGATTTCTATAAGAAAGGTCTTAGGTTCGAACCTCATCTCAATTAAAGTTGGCATAATTGTTAAACATATACTACAAATATGTTAAAATGTATTAAAAAATAAAAAATAAAATTTAACATAAACTTTTGTCAAATAATTAACTCGTCTAAATACATAGCATTCAATAATTATAAACCAGGAACTTTGAAAATCAATTGATTTTCTTTCATTTAAAAAAAATAAATTTAAGTTAAGCTTTTTTTTTTTTTCGTTTAATTAATCTTTTTTTTTTAATTATTGAGAACAAAACTTAATATTTCAATTATACTTTTATCAATGCATGAGAACTTCTAAAGAAATTTGTAAGTTAATTTTTATTATATTATTATAACAATATCTATTATAACCTTATATTTTGAATTATTTATTATCATCCTCTTTTGATAGCAATTTTCATTGAGAAACTCTCAAAACAATTTGTCTCAACAACGAATGGAAATTAAAAAAATCAATGATTTCATTATTGTGGATGAAAAGTATGTACGCCAGTTTATAGCTCTTATTAAATTAAAAAATAAATTAGTAGCTACAACATAAAATAATACATATGCATTTAATTAATTTAGAATTAGATGTCTATAATGCCTCTATTTAAAAAGAATTATTCATTATAAAAAAATTAAAAAGATATATAATTTCATTAGTTATATTATCTTTATTTTCTACTATTCAAAGATTCCTTACCTTCAAATTTATTAATTTATTATATTCACTACATTGTCTATTATTTTTTTTTTACATTATCTTGTAATTCAATATCAAAGTTATAATACAAAATATTATATATATATATATATATATATATATATATATATATATATATATATATATATATATATATATATATATATATATATATAATTAGGTTCTGATGCGGTTAGAGTGCCCAGGTGCAGTTGTGCGGTTTAATCTGGACTATTCATCTCGCTTAAATCAACGTTCAGAATTGTCAAAATTTTTTAAAAAAAAACGCGGTGGCAATTTTGTAATTTTTGCATGTAGGTCAAAATTAAGGTGAGCGGATCTGTGATTAATGTGCGTGGGGTTTGTGCTTAATGTGCGTAAGGTTGTGTTTAATGTGTGTGGGGTTTGTACTTAATGTGCATGAGGTTGTGCTTAATGTCAATAGTTGTTGAAACTTAAAATCTGTGAGTTAATATATTAAAGTGCGTGTGATTTGTGCTTAATGTGCGTGAGGTTGTGCTTAATGTCAATAGTTGTTGAAACTTAAAATCTGTGAGTTAATATTTAAAGTGCGTGGGCTTTGTGCTTAATGTGCGTGAGGTTGTGCTTAATGTGTGTGGGGTTTGTACTTAATGTGCGTGAGATTGTGCAGACGCTATCATTTGTGTAGACGCTACTCATTTTGTGTAGACGCTGTGTAGGCGCTATCTTCTTCCCGACACGCGTTTTTTTTTTTTTTTTTTTATAATTTTTATTGATTTGAGCCGTTGATCTAAATTTGATCAACAGCAAGGGAAGCTATACCCGCACCTGAACCCTTCCACATATATATATATATATATATATATATATATATATATATATATATATATATATATATATATACACCAAGTATTTAATAGAAATATAATAAATATTAATATTTTGTTCAATACTTTCACATGATAACCTACGACACACATCTCACAACACATGAAACATGTAAGGGAAAACTACCACTACCAAATATCAACATGTGCTTGTAAGATATAAGTTCATAGCACAACTAAGATCTCAGTCATATATACAATAAGGCAAATCTAAAGCTTTCTACACCACAATCTCATTGCATGATTAATCACTCTATGCTACCACCAATAACGCAATTGAACATGACACACTACCAATAACCAAAAAAAAA